ACCTGTTTCTGTTTTTGTTTGGTAAACTAGACAATTTTATTCTTTTTATTCTTTATTTTTATCGAAAATTTTCATTCAAGAAAATTTTCTCTTTTAAGTAAGGGGGGAATTTGTAACGTGTCAAAAAGACTCTTAGTTTATTTTACGAATTTGTTACTGTTTTGCTAATAAAACTAAAACTTACTTATCGGCACTTTATTATTTAGTTTAATTTCCATACTTTACTTGCTGTACTACTTTTATTTTCTCTATTTTGGTTTATTTTCTTAACTTATAATATATTTTAAGTGGTATCGTACAGTATAATTTTTCTGTCCTATTTTTGGTTTTGCCGGTAATGCCTGGTTAGTTTTATGACCTTTTCTGTCCTTACTAAAAATTTTATTACATTTATTATCATTGTCTAGTTCTACTACTTAATTTACCTTGTTTGTCTTCTGTTTTCTACCGTTGTTTTAAGTTACATTTTGCAGGGACCTTGGTTTTAACATGACTCTTTTCGTTTCCTAAGAGATTGGGTTTGGTTTTAGGAATACCTTCGTTGAGTTATTATTTGTATTTGCCTTGGTTGTCTATATTTTATAATCGTGTTTTGATATAGCCATTTTCTGTTTACATTACATCTGTCAAGTAGCAGTGTTGCCAACGTTATTTTAATCGCACACCTAGATTTTATCTGTGGGTTGCAGACTGTAAATTCAGTGTTCCCAACGTTAAAGTTATGTAACGTTCCTGCTGAGGTGACGCTTGGTTTCCTTGACATTTGGCGTTAGGCTTGTGAGCGTGTGCAACAGGTGCTTTGAAGATTTGGTTTTATTTCCACCATCCGTTCTTATTTGCGGGATTTGTCTTCAGAGAAACCTATATTGGATCCATTTAGACCGTTATCGTTTTGGATTTTGTATCTTTGGTCTATGGATTTAGCGGATTCGTCCGGATTTAAAAAGCACATGCTCTAGGTAAGCGTCATTTGTCTATTTAACGGCTGTTTTTCTATCTAAGCCTATTTTAGTGATCAAGCCAGCGTCATTTCACACTACACCGCACATAACACCGTTGAGTAAAATTCCACTGCTATAACTTGTCATCGTTGTACCATAATTTATTCAACCAGGCGTAAGTACGAATAATTTCTTTGGTAGACCTATTCCATACCTTTATTTCTCTTTTAGGGTTTTGGTTTTAGTTCTGTTTTTGTTTTGGTTTTGTTTTTGGGTTTTCATAACCCTATTCGTGTAACTTTTACACAACTTGGACACGACGGATTATCTCCCAGATATCCACCCTTATTGTGACCCTTGTTCCGGGGCATACACTACCGCGAAGGTACCCGGACAAGCCTAGTTTTTCTCCTGGATTCGACGACTGTGAGTTGGCCGAGGTAGGACTGAGATCGACGTCTGCCATCTCACCCATCACCCGATTAAGACACTTTCCCCGGATTTGACGACTACCCGATTGTGACAACGCCTGGCAGCAGGATAAGTTTATCTCTATTTTATTCTTTACTTTATTGTGTGGTATTTATACCGGAGTATACGTTATTTTGTTATATGATTATTTTTGTGAGGTTTGTTGTTCTGTGTTAAGACTGACCAGCTTTTGCCCGTATAACCAGCTGCTGGTTGGTTTTGATCCAGACCAACGGCCAATTTATTTTTGATTTTCTTTATTTTTGTTGGTCAGTATTGTTCGTTGTGTTGCGAACTGATTTGGTTAAGCTTGACCGTATAACCAGGTTTACCCAGATCAGGTTGCAACCCTCGGGTTGCTAACCTTGTTACACTACAAGCTTAACTTGTAGTGTCACCTCATTTTTGTTTTGCCCTGGTTGCCTTAAGCACCAGTTTTACTTACTTACTGTTTTGCCCTGGTAGCCTTCAGCTACAGAGTGGTATTTTACTTGCAGAATATATAGATTGTTTTTGTAGTTCGTAACTACCAAAAGGGTTGTAAACCCAAGTGATCACTTCGGTATTATTTTTGGTATTTATCCTAAACACAAGTATAATCACTTATTGCGTTATTTTAAATTATATATCAGTAATAAACCTTTAGTTATATCTATTTCGTGATTTTCTCTTTCTACGTTTTAAGGGCCACTTAAATCACGTGGCGCCTACGAACATCCCTTTATAACCCACACCCCTGAGCAACTATAGAGTCGGGCAGAGCCCTTAAAACTAGATATTATTTTAGATAGCGCCCACTGAAAAGTGAACCGTGACAAACTGTAGGTATTGTTACTGTTTTTATTATTTGTGGAGACATGCGCAGTGCGATAAAAACGTGCAATTGAAGAATATTAAAATTATCGTGGGCCAATGAATAGCCCAAGCGCCAGAACGGCTTAAGAACATTAAAACGCAGTTGGCAATTTTTAAAAACAATGTTTTTGTTTTAACTATTGTTTTCATAGCTGACGACGATTAGGAGGTATATACTTTCGGTCGGACACTCCACCATTTGTAAAGGAAGATTTTTTTTATAACAATGAATTTTGTTTTATATTCCTGATAATAATTTATTTATGTTTTTAACAGGGACTAGGATTAAATCACTGATTTTGAAAGCTCTCAAATCACTCGCGATCGAAACCTATTTCGATCTGCGAAGTATTACTCTCCAGATGAGTTCAATTATACCGCTCTCGTAGTGATTCGATACATTAAGGATTCAATCCCAAAAGTATCAAAACTCTTTTAAAGATTAAATACCTAAAAGATTTATATTCTAAATGATAACCATAGTTTAGCTACTTTTGAAATTTAATCATTTCAGGGTATTTATATTATTGCTCATTTAAGATTTAATCCTTTTCGGAACCCAGTGATTAAATCAGAGTAAAATTATCAGATGATTTAATTAATTAAATACTGGTGATTTATTAATACTGGTTAATAACATAAGTAGATGTGTATCATTAAAATGATTTAATAATAACAATTTAAAAACAAAATAATTGCCACCCTATTTATTAATGTTATTATTGCAAATAAACCTAGCAAGTCTTAATAATTACAATTTAAAAAATTATATTCTTCCCCGATAATTTATTAAACTTTTTTTCTGAAGAATTAACCTGGCAAGATGGGTATCTATCAAATGGTGTTAAAAATTACAATTTAAAAAATTATATTAATTACCCCCTCCTTCCCCCCTTATTTATTAAACTTTTATTCTGAAGAATTAACGTGGCAAGATGGGTATCTATGAAATGGTGTTAAAAATTACAATTAAAAAATTTATAATAACTTCCCCCCCTTCTGCCCCCTAATTTATTACATTTTTATATTCCAATGTTAACATGGCATGATGGGTATCTATAAAAAGGTCTTAAAAATTACAATTTAAAAAATTATATTAATTACCCCCCTTCTGCCCCCTAATTTATTACATTATTAAATTGCAAAATTAAGATGGCATGATGGGTATCTATAAAAAGGTGTTAATAATTATTTTTTTTTTAATTGTACTAATTACCCCCTCCTTCCCCCCTTATTTATTAAACTTTTTTATTGAAGAATTGACGTGGCAAGATGGGTATCTATAAAATGGTGTTAAAAATTACAATTAAAAAAATTATATTAACTACCCCCCTTCTGCCCCCTAATTTATTATATTTTTATATTGCAAAGTTAACATGGCCTGATGGGTATCTATAAAGAGGTATTAAAAATTACAATTTATAAATAAAATATTTTTTTTAATTGCAATTATCCACACCTTTTTATAGATACCCATCTTGAAATGTTAATTTTTAAATATAAAATTTATTAAAATTAGGGGTAGGGAGAGGGTAAATAATATAATTTTTTTAATTGCAATTATCAACACCTTTTTATAGATACCCATCTTGAAATGTTAATTTTGCAACATAAAAATTTTAAAAATTACGGGGAGGAAGGGGGTAGGTAATTAATAATATTTTTTAAATTGTTATTATTAAGACATTTTTGTAATTACCAATGTTGTCAGACTAATTTTGCGATATATTTTTTTTTAAATAAGGGGGTAGGCAGGGGGTTATTATAATATATTTTTTAAATTGAAAATTTTAAGACCTTTTTATAGATACCAATCTTGCCATGTTTATTAATTAACAATATAAAAATATCGAAAAATCTATAAAAATGTTTTACTAAAAAGTTAATAATAATCAATAATTATTAATAATAAGTAATTATTAATAACTTTTTAGTACAAAAATTATCTTATATTGTTAATTTTTTAAGTTAAAACTCTTAAAAAGATTAAATCCTTACCGATCTCGTTGGGATTTAATCCCAATATGATCTGGTATGATTTAATCACTAACTTTCTATACATTGGAGAATATAACTCGTGAGCAGATCGAAATTATTTTAAGGCGTTTAAATATCGCTCAGATTAAATCTCGCTGCCGTCTCGACTGTTCGCATCACCGATTGATTCGAACTGGTTTGACTGAATTTAACTCGCTCAGGGATCGAAACTAAAAATGAGTTTAAATACTACTCCTAGTCCCTGGTTTTTAATAATACATTTTTATATATATATCCCAAATATAGCAGGAATAACAAAAAACATTCGTTTGGAAATATTTATATGAAATCTTAAGATCTTAAGATATTTAGAACTTCTTAGAACGCCATGCACTTTCTCAATAAAATGTTCCAGGTATATGATATTTCATTATCGCTTGAATATTTCGAATATTCTTGGAACATCTACAAAGGAATATTCTTAGAATATCTGAAGAATTTCCATTGGACTTTTCTAAAAATATTCCAAAATTCATTTATATATTTTGAGAATTATTAAAGCATATTCCAATGTTTAAAAAAGTTTATGCAGAGAATATTCTAGGAATATTTAATGTTCTTTGGGTCGCGATCTGAACATACTCAAATGCATCTGAATGGCTTAATATCAAACATTTAATACAAAAATAGGTAATATAATTTTACCAAGGTATTGTTGACATTATCATTCTGTACTTTTTTACAACTAAAACTTACTATAATATAACCAATCTGATATTGGACTAACAGCAATTCCACATTTGTAAATTTTTTGTTGATTGCCTAAACCTAAAACCATGGAAGTAACGTAACCACCAAACCCCCATCCCCAAAGACCTATTCTTGTCCTATCTAAATACTTATGATTATCTAACAGGTATTCCAAAACCGTCACCTAAAATAAACAAGATTATATCATCAATTTAATTATTCATTTAAAAAAATATTTACATGGTCTTGAACTTCCACACCACCAAGTTTACGGTACAAAGCTCCATCACTTTGGCCCTTAGCGCCTCTAACATCTAACTTAACATAGACAACGTCGCAATGACTAGACATGTAAGTCCCCCAATCTACTTTGAATTGCTCTGTAACTGCTTTACTACCCGGCCTACCATTACTACAAAAAATACAATTATAATGGATATTTTAAGACACAAGAGTTATTTCAATAGAAACAAATCACTCTCAAGATCAAAACTTTTTCATGTGACCTTAAAGGACGCTCTCAAATTGTGTTGCTTTAGAAAAAATACATCTATACATATCTACATGTATATATGTTTTTAAATAAATAGATTTCTTAATTAATTGACTGCCTGGCATTGGCCGGACCTTTCATGAGTATTTCCAAAATTTGAGATCGTTCTTCAAGCATCTTCACGTTGCATCATAAAATAATTATTCTTATTAAAAACATAATCTTCTCACTAACACTTCAACTATAACAGGATAGGCAGCATCCCTGAGCTCTTCCCTCCAGGATGGCGGCAAAAAAAGCTGCACCTGAGCTCTAGATCCTTGCGGCAGAGGGACCTCGAAGGATTTTTTTTTGGGCATTGCGAACCTTTCGAGCAACGGCATTTTTTGCGGTCGGGTGTCGTACAATATTTTTAACAGTTTGTGGGTCTGCGCGTTGTGCATCCCGGATAATGGAAGACCTGGTCCTTCGCACTGAAGGATGTAGTAGGATGCGTTCGAAGACTGGTGTCTAGGACTTATCTGAAAAAAGGATAAAAAATAAGTAGAATATTTTAAATTCGGAATCATTTTAAACATTTAAGAAAATTTGAAAATTTTGTGTTTATGTTCTTATTTTTAAAGTTTTTAGTTTATTTAAAGATATGAAATGAATGTGGATGGAGTTTAGTGCCAACAGTTTTTTAAAACACTATTAGATTTTAAGTAAAATCCAAAACCAAACATGCTTGCGAAATGTTTTAACAAAGTAAGAATGAGGAAAAGATCAGGTGCGAATAAAACAAATTAGTTTATAGTTTGAGTAAAGTTACTAGTTCAACTATACTTATACCCAAGGATTTTGTCGCTGAATTCGAAATTGATGCATCATATCGGGTATTAGAAAAATTCCAACCCAAAAGTATAAAGGCGCAATTTTTTTAATACTTAAGGGTTTATTACATCAGCCCATAAAATGAATAAACATCGATTTCTTAACAAGTATGTTCACTCAACGACAAGCCATGTTTAAACGTTTCCCATATGTTTAAAGGCTTGACACAGCGATAAATATTTTAGGACATATAGTATCTTAGTTTTGTAACCTAAAAGTCGCAGATCGTAAACTAAAATTGTGTTAAATAATTATTTTTATTCATGAGCTGGCCAAATAGCTTTCAAATTAGCTAAAGGCCAATAAATTTTGAAGAAGAAAAAGAATTATTTTAAAAATCATTTGTGATATTTAATATATTAAATTCTTCTTCTTCTTCTTTCTTTCTATTTTCGGTATTTTCAACCTTGGTGCTTGGAATCTAGTCCATGTGACCATATGCTTGTTTTAACGTCTCACGGCTTCAGAAAGAACTACCTCCGCCATTTGACAATGTGGAAATTTTAATCTTGAAACATCCATTCAATCATTTATACAATTCACAAAATACCTCACTAAAAGATCAAAGCTTGCGATATTGTTAAAAAATACAGGTATATTTCTACACCGGGAATCCAATTTTGTACCCCCCGGTTCGCAAAGTCAGCTATGTTTCACACTTTTCATCGAGCGATACGCAGCCCACGGCGTACAAAACCGAACTCCTAATATATTAAATGAACTTTAAAACAACTTAAGAAAATCCACAAATTCTAAAAATACTTGGAAAAACATTTCATGCTGAACTACCCAAAGAAAAGATCTTTTGGCGGGGCCATTAAGTCCATTCTTAAATGGAAAAAGGTAATCGTAAAATATCTTTAAATATTTATTTGTTACTTATTTCTATATAGACTTTTAGTGACTTGAAGGAAAAGGGCAAGGAAGCTAGGCATTTCTCACATGGAGATTGGCAATGTCGAGGAGCCAGCAAAACAACTTAATGGCATTGAGGATAATTAACAAGGAAGTTAGTAGTGGAGGGATTACCATCTTTTGAACTCTACATTGACCAGCCTTTAAGGTCAACAGGCTGTATTGAAGGACCCCTTCTACAACAGAGAGGCAAAAAGAGGCCAAGAGAAAGTCCAACTCCAACTCTGATGAGTAGCAAAGAGAGTGTTCTTTGGTGTAGAGGTTTTAAAAGGTATTGATAAAACCTAAAAGGGATTTTAAAGTTAACAAAAGTTTTTAAATACATGTGACCTCCCAAATTTTCACGTCACACTTGGAATTTTGTAATTTTCTGTTTTTTCTAAATAAATTAATTTTATCAAACAATTTAGTAAGGAAAAATTTGTATTTTTGTATTATGATAATTAAAAAAACAAATCTTAAAAATATTTTTAATATTGCAAAAAAAATTACTTGTTTGGTGTAACCCTGTATGTGATTTGTCCTATTCTCATTTATAATTATAATTATAATTAATTTGGTATTAATTGTGAAAAAAATTAATTCATGATTACTAATTAATTTAAGACAATCACTATGCTTGATAATGATACTATAGGTACTGTATACTGTAACAAACATCGCCGCAATTTATGATTAATGAAAGATGAAAAACCTCAAATATTGGCAAACATCATTGGTAAACATACGTTTTCAAACATCATGTATGTTTACCAAACAGCGAATTTTGGAAACGGAATAGCAAATTAGACACCGATGATGTTTATAAACATTGAAAGGGAATAGGCACATAAGTTAGAAAACATATGTAGTTCATGAATAGGAATAGGCCTCTAAATTAGATTAAAGCGTGCAAAAGATTTCTTTTTATACCTCAAAAATTATCTTACTTAAATGGAATCTATATTCTGGCCTATAGATGTTTTTTGTTCTAAGAAGACTTACCAAAGCACTATAGTGTGTACAATTTCCATACAGATATCTACTACTCCATAAAAAATCACCCAAATCACACGTGATACAGTGTGATTCTAAACGTCGAGCATCATCAGTGGATGGATCCCGGACGACGTAGAGATGTTTTTGACCTGGTTTTTGGTCCTCAGTTGAAAGGTAGTATCTGAAAACACATTTAAGCTAGCAAAAAGTTCTCCAAACAAATATTGTTTCTTACATTAGATGACTGTGCGTGTCCCAGTACAAAATTTTAAGAACTTCGTGCCTACCATGACTAATCACAGCTATGTGTTGCTGCGTAACGGAAACGTGTTTTATGTGCGTGTAGGATTCCTTGCTGCCTTCCATAACTGGTGCCAGTATCAGAAAACTATCGCCGTCCGGGGAGAATACTGGGTGTTCCTGGATTTCCAGCCACGATTTTTCCAGGGCTCGTTCTGCATGAGTCTGAAATTTGTAAAACTTGGTAGTTAAAGCTGGTGGGTTTTAGATGTTTTTTTTTTACCTCAATACACGTCCAGTTTGGTGCCAAACAAGATGATACTATACTAAGGTTTTGAGCGCGGTTTATCCACACTGCTGATACTTGGGTATTTTTTAGACCTATCCAGCCTGCGGATGTTAAATAGTAATCTCTGAAATAAAATTCAGGTTTAAATACTAGTTACTTTTTGGACTTAAACAATTTGTAAAATATAAATAAATTCTGTAATCTTGGAAGAAACTTGTAAATATGTGAAATTTCTGAAATATTTGAAACTATGTGTTACAATGCAGTCATTTTTGGCGGATATAGATAAAGACAGAAGTATCTTAACATTTGGTTTTATATTTAAATATGCCAAAGGGTGTAACTCCACTGCTTTGCCAAACTTTATTAACATGATTAATGAAACAAACAGGCGAAAAAGTTCTCCAGTACGTTTTAGGGGACCCTCAGAGTACCTACCGAAAAAATAGTAAAAAAAAACTTCTGCGATATTGGAGGAGTTATTGGCCAAAAACGGAATTGGTATTTGTCGAACATCCATGCGAAACTTTAAATAAAAGTTTTTCATGTCATTATGCCAAGAAGTGAGTCTTTTTGTGCTGAGCTTAAAGTTCGAACTTGAGCAAAACACAAACAGACACTTCTTGGCCGAAAGCCATACAACATTTTATCTTGAAGGCACAATTTAATTTGTTAAACGATACATAAAACCTACAATTATTAAAAGTTACATCGATGACAGAAATTGACTTTGTGAAAAATAATAAATTTAAACGCCCTAGGGCCTAGGCCATAAACCGATTAAGGATAATAGTTATTTATGTCATAATGCTTGGAAATGAGTCTTGTTGTGCTGAGCTTACAAGGTACTTACAATTATAATAACAATTATTTAAACTTTAAAAACTGTAAAAATAATGTAGACCAATCAGGTGAAGATTTTTACATCCTGGTATGTAAACTTTAAAATATAAATAAAGTATAAAGTATCTAAGGTTAGATCGCTTCAGAAATTTCAGTAGTATTTTAATTTATCCTAACTGGTTTTTAACATACAAGGATGTAAAAAAAACTTCAGCTGATTGGTCTACATTATTTTTTGAGCAAAGAATATAATCCAAGGCTGTCTTAGTAAGCGTTGACAATAATAAAGCTTAAGTAATAAAACGTTTAAAGATACAAGATTTTCCTTCAAATAAATAGTTTGGACTGCTTTGTCGTTTTTTTTTTGATAATTTTCAGTAGGTAGCAATTAAATTTTTTTTCTTACTACCTCGACTGAAAATACGTTGTTTCGTCCCCGATTTCACGGCAGAAAGTTTACGTTTCTTGCATTGGTCAAGCTATACGCGCACACTCTATAATAGCGGGAGTAAAAATTTTTTAGTCATGTGCTCAACATATGCAACTCTGATTACGACACTAATATAACCTCAAAATTTGGGCAGGCATAAATATGTTTCGATATACAAATTTAATTTTTTCCCGTATTTTCGGCCGGGTTGTATTTTCGGCCGAGGTAGTAAGAAAAGTAGTATACACTACACGGGCAGAAAGTGTGAGAGCCCTGAACTGCGCGCCAAGATGCACGCAGTGCAGGAATCTCACACTTTCTGCCCTTGTAGTGTAATATACTATTAAAGTGATATTTTTGTACTAGCCACTAAAATCTTGTCCTGGTTGTCGTAAAGTTATAAAAACTAGTTAACTATTTTACAGGTCCACAGAAATTTTTTGATATGCTGTTTTTAAGAAGTTTTAACCCAAAAGTATAAAAAACGTATTTTGGTACATCAAAATATTTTTTCTCCGCAAATCTCGTTGTCATTTGAAAGTCATACTCTTTCCTATCAAAATCCTTTTTAAATTTCTTTCTTCTCTTCGAGAAATGATTAGTTAAAATTTATAAATTTAGATTGGGTGACAGGACAAATTTCAAAAGGATTTTGAAAAGAAACATTAGTACTTTTAGTTATGCCGATAAGGTTTGTGTTTTAACAAATGGAAAAGGTGAGGTCGGATTCGAGTTTAGCGTATCAAATATCTTCCTGATTAACAAAAGGATGTTTGTTAAATTTTGCGACCTGTTTAATCAACTAATCTATCTTACAAACATACTGCACAAATGCGTTTTTAACAGATAAGGATTCTTTACAACATTGTGCATTTTGGAAAAATCAAAATTCAAAATTTAAAATGAAAACTGAATTTGTAAATAAACAGCAATTAAATGCATTTAAAAATGTTGCATAAGTTCCTGTTTTTTATCGATGAAACCAATTTTTTTTATGAAATACTAAATTAATATAGCTGGTTTGCATTTGCATTTTGACTAAGAACTAGTGGACAAAATCGAATAAATTGACATCGTTTAGCAATGCAAATGCATTGCCACCCTTAATATAATTAGTTTATATTGCCGCAAGACTGACTAGGCAATATTGAATATTGATCTGAACTAAACGAGCATCCAATTACCGGATCAACAAAAACAATACGCGGTCTAATTACGCCCCACAAGCACATTTTAATCGTGCCACTTGACGAATCCATCCGCGCCGGATAAATGTTGCGGATGTTCGCTAGCCACAATCGGTTGCCGAACTGTCTGTATGTATGTGTGTGCTCGCGTGTTTGTGTGTGTGTAAACGTCAGCTCCGGAGCACCGTTTAGAGCGATCGTCATCGGCTCTCGTCCTCGACCGCATCGTTGAGCCTGCTAATTAGCTGCGGCCACTGTCAAGGCTGCATTAATTTAAAGGACTTTTTGCGCTTTAACTTTCTGCATTCAATTGATTTTCCAGGCACGGCTACTATGGCACGCCTGCCACGTTTTAAAATATCCACGCCAACTGCAACGTTTAGCAGTTGAAGACAAAGGAAACGCTTCTGTAGCATTGTGGTTGCGTTTTTGAACCATTTGAAACTTGTTTATTATTTAACATTCAAATATTCTCAAGAAGTCTTTATTTTTAAGAAACAATATACTTACTGTCCTATTAAGGCATTTGGTGGAAGAACAAGATGCCTTTGCAGGTCTGATGTGTTGGACATATCTAATATCCATAAGTCAACACTGGGGTTTGTAGTTCCAGGCTTTAATTAAAAAAAATACATTGTTGTCAAAAATAGATTGATATTTCTTTATAAGTTACATCATCAAAGTATGTCTTTTCCAGATGCAATCCTCAACTTTAGTCATACCACAAAATGCTTTCTTATCTATCTGCTTTACTCAAATCATGGACGTTTTTGTCCCCCCATAAAAATAGATCGCACATATTGAGTAAAGCAGATTGAGGAGACTTACAGGCATATTAGTTAAGATGGACCACTTGGATGACTTGATTTTGAATATGTACATGTTAATAAGCTTACCGTGGGGTATCTAACAGTCCTAGAACCAGGAAAGGAATGAGGCGCAGTTTGTGCCTTGTTGGTCGAGAACCAAGGAAAATTTAAAATACCTACGTCGCTATCGTTAAAAGTGGCATACATTAGGTGAGTACCGTCGTAGGAACTCCATAAGGCCTCCTGGCTTTGCAACACATCCTCTGTAACCAATTACAAATATTAAAACAACACTATTTTAAAGTTTAAAAACGACATCATAAACACATTAGAAATATGTTTAAAACAAAATTACTTCCAATTTAATAATAAAATATACACGAGTCATAATCATCATGGGTAATCATCTAAGCCCATTATTAGCGGATATTAATTATTTAGATCTAACAATAGAAAAAAAGGAATAGACACCACACATTCAAAATTTTTCACAAACCCAGCTACACAGATATAGTTATACATAAAGGTTCTTCTCACCCCTTTTCACACAAAATAGCCTTATTTAACTCTATGGTCTTTTGTACTCTTAAACGTTTCATTATCAGAAATAGATTATAATTACGAATTAAATTTAATTAACCAAAACAAGCAGTTAACAACGGCTAGGAGGCACAATTAATTAACAAAATCTTAAATCACAAAAAAACTCGATCTGAAGATGCTACTGTGTAGCAAAACAATTGTCATATTTAAATAAAATAGTGAAACTTTTAAACAGTGTAGTTTATATTAAAATAAAACAATATTAACATGGAGTTTCATCAAGTAAAAGTCGAAACAATTAATTAAAAAAACAAAAATAGCAGGGTTTTTTTTATTCATATATTAATAATATGTAGCTTCATCAAGTAAGAGTCGAAACAATAAACAATTACAAATATAATTTCTCATAAACAGAATATATAAAAAATTCACGAATACAATATTTTTTTTAAGATTACGTAAAGGATATCAGTTGGCTTCTGGGACTTAGGAAGTAAGGATAAAACTAAAAGAGCACTTTTTATATGTTTAATTTACTTTATGTTTAACATTCCTTACAGGGTAATAACGTTAATATATTTCGGGGGGTGATTCTACACTTAAAAATAAAAGAAAAAGTTGCTATGTCCAAAAATGCCTCTTAGGGGCGCTATAGGCATTTTAAACTGTTTCGCAAAATCAGATTTTTATTAATTATTTCAGAAACCGTTGGTGCAAAAATATTGATGGTTTATTTTTAAGGTACACTCTCCAAGAAATGCCCAATATACATTTTATGTACGGTAAGGCCAATGGTAATAGTCGCGAAGCTCGAAGATTGTACCAAGAAGGATTCTCCCGAATGTGAACGAACGTTTAAGTACATAAAAGACTGTGCGAAACTGGCACTTTTAAAGTACACTCCTTGTGGAGTTGGAGCTGCTCTTTAAGAGCCAAAAGGATCCTTTTCTATGGTGGATCAGTCCATATTTTTCTCTGTATCCTACAGTTGTATGTTTTGGCCTTTTCAACAATACGCCATGCTTGTCTATTCTTAATTTTTGTTTTCCATCTGTTTACTTTTAATGTTCTTAGATCATTGTATATTTGATATTCCTATCTGACTTGGCCTCCCTCTCGATCTATCCTCTACTGGTTTCCATTCTGTTATTTTTCTTACTGCTTCGTTTTTGTCTTTTGCCTTTTTGCCTTAATTATCTTTACTATATTTTCGTTGTTCATATTTTTTTTTCTATTTCATGATTCATTATTCTCCTTTCCCTGTTCTAACTGGTCGGTATATTTTTCTCATAATCTTCCTCTCAAAACATTTTAATTTTTCCTCCTTTTTGCTTGTCATAATCATTGCCTCTGCCGCATATGTAACTACCGGTCTTAGGGCTGCCTTGTATATTTTAATCTTTGTTTTTTTACTTATATTCTTATCTTTCATGTACTGGCTGTATGTAAAGTATGATCGATTTCCCATCTGTATTCTTTGATTAATTTTCTCTGTTCGGTCATTTTTGTCATTTATTATTACTCCCAGATATTTAGAACTGGTCACCACTTCGTACTTGTTGTTTCCTATTTCGGCTATATTTTGTTTAGTTCTGTTATCTTTATTGCATACCATCAGTTTTGTTTATTCTTGGTTAATCGTCAGCGCTTTCTTCTTTGCTTCGTTTGCAATTTGTATTGTGATCTTCTTAAGTGCATTATAATCCCTCACTATTATTGCTACCTGTCGACCTCATTACTTCTTCTAGTAAATAAATAACGTTGCCTTGTCTTACACCTTTATTATATTCGAACTCTTCTGATTCCCCTTCGTCTGTCAGTACCTTTGCTTTTGATCTTTACATAGTCATATGCACCAGGTTTCTTATTTTTCTCGATATATTTACCTATTTTAAATCTTCTTTTAAAGTTTTGCGACAGATGTTATCGAATGCTTGTTTTAAGTCTATTAATAATATATCATGTCCTATTTTATGTTCGTGAGTTATCTCTAGACTTTTTATGCTTGCAAATAATTTCCTGCTCTCTTTACTGTTGTTTTCTATTTCTGTCATTATTTTATTTATCCATTGCATTTTTTAATTTTTTATTATTTTCGTTCCTTCTTTTCTAGCCATTTTATATGTTTCTTGATCTTGATCTTCTTCTGTTTTTAACCATTCCAGTCTTGTTTCTCTTTCTCTTTTTCTTTTTATTCCAAAAAGTACAGTTTGGGAAATAATGCACGAACAACTGCTATATCCCTCATTTACAGAGATTACAAGCTTTAAATCCTTAAGATCTTCCACGAAACCTAATTCAATTGGGATGGAATAATTAATTTTCATAATAGTCATGCATGGTCTGATAAAAATCCGCATGCCTTCATTGAATCAAGGCACGAGCAAAGATTTTCTATCAACGTTTGGGCAGGAATAATTGACGATTTTTTTATAGCTCCTCACGTCTTACCAAATCGACTGAACGGTGAAATATACTTGTATTTTCTTCAAAACGTTTTCATAAACCTCCTTGATAACGTCCTACCACTTAAGATTGACAATGTTTTTATGAATGATGGCGCCCAACCAAATTTTTAAGGACGTAAGGACACATTTAGATGAAGTTTACGCCCGATGGATAGAATGTTAATTACACTTCTGTGTGTGGAGATATTTAAAATCATTGGTGTAAGCAGTCCTAATTTATATCGTTAAGGAATTAATGTCGCGGATTTGAATCCATAAGAAAAAAACTGGATTTTTCAAAAACATTCGAAGATCTATGAAAAAAGGGTTAGGAGATGTGTAGAAGAGAACGGAGGTCATTTTAAGTATACTAAAATAGGAATTGTTGAAAATTGGAAATTATAGTTCATTTTCTGTGAAATTTTTTGGCGAGACATTTTTAATAGCGTTATTCTCCAAAACAGTTGTGTCCATGACTTTGTAATAAGAGCAGTTTTTTTTACGTAGAATTATCGGGGGTAATTAGTAATTACTAATTACTAATTACACAAGTGCTTAAAAAGTATCGATAATTTTGCTTGAAAGCATATTGCCTAAAAAATGCATGAGTTCATTTTCATATTTTGGAAACAGGTGGAGGGCTCTTTCCTCAAAATATGAAAATGACCGAATGCATTTTTTAAAAGACAATATGCTTGAATGCAAAATTATCTGATTATTTTTATGCACGAGTGTAATTTGTTTAGATAATTACACGAATAAACTAATTAAATCAAAGAATAACATTTTCAAATATTTTTGGTACACTATTTTTCACATTTTAATTAATTGATTTAAATGATTCTTTACCAAAACGTGAAATATTAAATAACTGTCACATTAAAATAAAAACTGACGTTATTTTTATTAATTGCCATGGATACGTAGATACAATGGAATTATAGTCTTGTAGGCATATATAAGGGTAATTATCTGATGAATTGTATTTCAAGATCGAAAATTCAACAAAACGCCACAAAAAAGTTAGGAGGATTTTTTTTAGACTGTTTCTTGACCAAATATCACCCCAGAAATAAAGTAATATTATCTAACACTAACCATTTCTGAAATTATTAATAAAAACCTGAATTTGCGAAACGGTTTAATATGCCTATAGCTCCCCCAGGAGGCATTTTCAGACATCTATTTATAGCAACTTTATCTTTTATTTTTACATGTAAAATCACCCCCCGAAATATAACGTTATTTCCGAACACCCTGTATAATGATATTACAAAATCAATAATAGAATATTAATTTTGAAGTAATGCCATTACGGTAATGGTGTGTTCGCACATTGCATAGGATTTATTGCACCAAAACCCATTATAATATAAATGTATACATTTATATTATAGGTATACTGTCATACATTCGACATTGTTTCAAATATGAGTGCTTCCTCCAAAGTGAATGTTCTGATCTGACTTGTCTTATCCAGGGGATTTAGATAATATTACCTTTTTAAAAGAAAATGGAAAGAAATGTATGTATGAAATTTTAAATTATCAAAAAAAGATAAATCAAAATATAATGCTTTATCACCCTTGGACAAAAAAAAATTGCACAAGGGTTAAATCTTTTACCTTGGTACAACCAGTCAGGGATGCCGTTGTATACTAAGTCGGGTTTCCCCGAGTCCGTTAACCTGGTGTCCGTTTCGTCGGTCGGCGATTTTCTCAGGTAGATGTCGTTGTTAAACACTAGAAGAAGGGAAGTAGTAAGACCTAACCACCTAGCGTACTGAAGACGCTCGGGCTGAACTTTCGGTGACACTTCTAACCGGACCGGAATATGATGACTAAGAGAAAAAACATAATTAATTTAGTTATTTTGTAAACATATGTTTTAAAACACGGGTGGCTTTGGCTCACTTTCAAACTTAAGCTTAAAATCTTTGTGGTTTTAACTCTTTCATAATAACTATGTTATAATATTACATAGGGCTGAGTTTCAAAAATAAAAATTAAAAACTGGGTGTGCAAAGTTACCCCCTGGTTGCGGGTTACTTTGTCTCACAGTGTATTTTCCGTATAAAATGAATTCAATATTATATTTTATTTTTATTAGACACGTGTTAGCAGCGACATATATCTATTGCAAGGGATTACCAATAAAAAAAATAAAAAATCGACCTGTAGTTAACCAAGGATCATCATTCCAATGGATTGCGTATAATATAGAAATTGTAACGCGTGTATTTCTAAGAGTTTTGCACTGATGCGATATATACAATTTTAAAGTGTAATAAATACCATTTCTTTCTTTAAAACATTGATTTTCCTGTAATATAAACTCAATAGAATCGCTCAATTGACAGGTTTAGACCAACAAATTATAAATGTTAATTTTATCGAGCGCGAAAAGATTTTTCATAAATGGGTTAAAGTCACCCGCGGGGTGCAAAGTCACCCGTGTTTACAGTACAAGAACTAGAATTAGTATTCTTAATAACCTATAATAATTATTTTAATGACTTAAGTCGGCGATAAGCCGGTTTTAGGCAATAATATTACGGTGACAATACAATTTATTATAATTAGAACCAATAAAATGCCAGTATTCAATGGTTACGCATTTTATCACAGCGACAATATTTTTTATCACCTTGTTTACACGTTGCTAAGGATTTTGACACTTTTTTGATTTGACATTTGTTGACATTTAAATACCTAAATTAAGGTAAGTTTGAATAAATAAGTTTTATTAAAGTCTTTATATATTTTAAAGAACATTTTAATTTTAAATGTCAAACTGACAATTCGTTAAATCCTAAAATTCATTATATTTTCTCACTAAATATAACTCATTAAAACCGAAGCAGCACATTTCACTCGTCCTGCAGACTCGTGAAATCTGCTGCTCGGTTTTAATTCGAAAATATCATCGATGATAATATAGGTGACAGTTTTCTCTCATTGTACGCTTTTTTAATAAGAACAACTGTATCTACCTTTATGTAGAGATATACTTTCAAAGTTTGTCTAAAAAATGAGTTTAAATGAAGAGAATGCAAAAGTTTTTATGGAAAAAAGTTGATTTAGATATTATATATTATACATAACAAGTAAAAAAATCCAACTAAAACGCCTTTAACAATCTTTATAAAATTTTGTATAAAAATACTTATATCTCTTAACTTGTTCAAGGGTTTTTCGAGAAAATAAGCCCTTTATTAAATAATAATAAAAAATGCTCGAAAAAAAACTTTTATAGGAAAATTTATTTTTAAGTAAATAAAAAATATGCTGTGAAAGACCGTATTTTTGTTAGTATACCCTAAAACTTTGTACAAATCAAACGAACAGTAACGAAAATTTATTTTTAAGTAAATAAAAAATATGCTGTGAAAGACCGTATTTTTGTTAGTATACCCTAAAACTTTGTACAAATCAAACGAACAGTAACGAAAATACAGCGCTTCAAAGTCGTCAAAAATGACCAAAATAATAAAAAAGGGGTAATTTTTATCGACTTTGAAGCGCTGTATCTCCGATACTGTTCGTTTGATTTGTACAAAATTTTCACGGTATACTAACGAAAATACGGTCTTTAACAGCATATTTTTTATTTACCTAAAAAGAATGCCCTTAAAGTTATTTTTCGAACGTTTTTCTAATTATTAAATAAAAGATATTTTCTCGAAAAATCCTCGAACACATAAACTGAGATAAAAGTTGAAGTATTTTTATAAAAAATTTCATAAAGATTGGTAAAGGCGTTTTAGAGTTTTTTTACTTATTATGCGTTAATTTTGACGGGCAGTGTATTTAGCTTTTCAATGAAAGTATTCATTATTTATTATAAAGATAAAAATGTAATTTTTTGTGGTCATGCGGTCATTTTTATTTTTAATTTTATATTTTTTTCTGAAAGCTGTCATTTTCTTGATGGGGTTATTTTTACTCAAATTGTGATGTTACGCATCTGTCAATTTGAGGCAAATTTTGTCCTATTTTCTAAAAATAATTTAGTTTATGTTTATGTCACAAAAACTTACATTTATACATTTATATTAAATTATTTTTGAAAAATAAGACAAAATTGGTGTTAAACTGACCGTATCTGGTAAATTAATTATTCGAAAAAATTGACTTACAACTTTTTTATTATTTCTTTTTATTTAAACAAGAAAAACCCATGGTCAAAATTACATATTTTTTTGTACAAAAATCTTAGCTTTCAGAAAAAAATATTATAATTAATATAAAAGGCCAAAAAATTCACATTTTTAAATTAAATTAAATTGAAAGACCTCCTTACTTATAATAAAGAACGAATACAAGTATTTTTATTGAAAAGCTAAGAATTTTTTACATAAAAGTAATATAGTTTATGTTTTTATAAAACGTTAATTAAGTACATACAAAAAAATTAAAAATTAAAAAAAATATCGTCACAATTTGAAACATTTTGCCACAAAATTACGTAATAATAAAAGCTCAAATCCTTAGTGAGTCATTATTTTGAAGTAGAAATTTTGGATAACTGTGGACACAAAATTTAAAAACATTCGCGGGGTCACACTTCAAAAAACAATATTTGGTAGAATGACCCATATACAATTTTTGTTATATTAAAAATATCAGCAAACAAATATACGAAAAGACGTTTATAAAAAACAAAACGAGGTCGATTATTGACACCAACACTTTTTTTGGCATTTTGGCATATATTCACTGACCCAATAAAAATGTCCATAAATGCCGCGAGATGACGCGATTACATATCCAAATATTTCTATCAAATTGTAATTAGAAAAAAAATTATACAGGCATTGCATTTAAAGATGAAACGTTAGAAGACTGTTTTAAAAAAAGCTTAAGTAATGAAACATTTATCCATTTTGCAAACCAAATCAAATCGTTTTTAAAAGTACGATAGCGATATCACATCAAGCATATAAATAGCGCAGCATTGCTTTTCCTGTGATTAAAACTTGCAGATAGTCCGTTAAAATGCTAATAGTTTAAACCAACTTATTTACATTCGCACTTGGAACTATTTGTCCAAGCCCTTTAAGCAGTTCTGCAAAGATAAATCCAGCGAATTTGTGACAAGGCACCAAGTGAGACACACTTATCGTTAGTTTGCGCTGCAATACACATTGCACGCTACTTCCGGTTGTACTTAATTTTCCAGATAAGTAGAGAACGGACTTTAACGTTTTTAAAAATGTATTTATAAGCGCGCTTAAATGGTTTTAAATTACTGATATTTGTCACGTAATAATGTAATTAATTATTTTGGATGACAGGGAGTTCAAACATATTTTAATTGCATCCATCATGATACTACTATGTAATATCAAAACCTGCAGGGCTTTGAATAAGAAAAATACTGAAAAATGTACTACACCGAAAAAAATAATGTAGTTGAGTTAACGTTTGCCTAAATTTCATTTTTGAAAATGTTGTTTCATCAAAAAACCTATTGGATAATCTATATTTTGGTGTCAAAGCAATAGCAGAGTTTGTCAAAGTTTATTTGTTCATTTGACAGTTAAAATATTGATTTAACATAAACTAATTTTTTGAATTAAAATGTTTATCCTATTTTGATTTAATAACTGGAATTGGTTGAATCAAATACTGAAATTTTTAGGATTACCTAAAAAAACTATTAAATTAACGTTTAGTTGCTCTTTAAATCCAAAACATTAAATTTGTTCATTTAAATGTTACTTTAAAATTTGTTAATTTTGCATTCATAAAATTGCCGTGAAGGGCGCTTCGAACACCCAGGCCACGTCATTAGACGGTGTTGATCACGTGATGTTCTTACATCTCGCCTCAGTTGGCTTACGATAGGAGTATATAAGCTCAGGTAGCCGTTTGTTTTCGGTGTGTTCCACAGTGGAACTTTCACTACACCAAAATTTGGTAACCAAATTGCCCGACACTGATTATCAGTGACTGATAATACCCCCAATATAGGTCGAATCAGCTGTCTGTCGGTAGGTATTTGAAGTAGGTGGAACGCAATAAAAAAAAACTCTGGCGAGGGAAGGTTCGATTCTTTCTCTTTATATTAAGTCCATAATTTAATTAACCCAACATTAGCGCAAATTATTTTAATTTAACATTTTATTGGTGTTAAGTGAATATGCTAAAAAGGTTACCTGGACATTTCAAGAAATTTACTTAACATCTTAAAAATGTTAGCACAACCATTTTCGAAATATTACTCCGAGATATCAAGAATGTTTAATTAACCAGATTAGCATTAGCAACAAATATTCTCATTTTGTTCTTTTAACTAATATTTGTTGTTCAATTAAACAATACAATTTGACATTTTTAGATGGTTAAGTAAACGTGCAAAAACCATTGCTTGTATTTAAAGTGCATAAAGAGTTGAATTAATATTTTTGCTGTTGTTCAGCTTATTTTTTTCAGTGTAGTCTATAAAAATTGAGAAAAACATTTTGCATATAACACGGTCTCTAAAGATAAGTGATACCTGCTGTGCCGATGAAAATCCACTGCTGACCTCTTATGCTGAGGAAATTACCTCTACAATAATTAATAGTTTATGTGTAAACGGACCAAAAGTCCAAATAAAACACGCCTGACGTCAGCTGACGCCGTAAAATTATTATAATGGAGGTATATTTACGAGCTATTACAAGCGACGGGGAAATTATTACTCTGCTTATATGCTAATTCCCTGTAAGAAGTTTATTATTGATTAAGTAAGATAGATTGTAATTTAATTCATAAATAAATTGTTATACTTAATAATTCCGAATCTAAAAAAATATATAATTTTTTTTTAAACCGATTCTTGGATATGTATGGTGAATCAGTAAGCAACCACTTAGTCTGAAGTCACCTCATCAATTTTTTTTTAAATGGCAACTCCTTTTTTGTTAAATACCTCATTGGATTAGTAAAAAAACTGAAGAACACAAAATAATTGTAACAAAAGTATAATAAACCAAAGAAGCTTAAATAAACAAATTGTTTAACAATAATCAAAACACTTTGATTTTTAGCATTTTAAATTAAATGCAGAAAATAACTCTCTTAAGTCTTTTTTTATTATTTTTAAATTTTTTTTGCGATATATTGGCGTTATTGAACAATTTAAATCATCAATGGAATGAGTATGTTTTTGGTGAATCAGATTTATAAAAACTTACAAAAAAGACTGCTATTTATGCTGATTAGTTTTAATATCTTAAATGGTATTGTTTGGCCCTTCTGAGAGTGAAATAGCTTTTTATCCATGAGCTAAAGTTTGCCCTAAGTTAATCTTTCACTAGTCGCACAATAGTATATTGTTATGTTACCTAATTCAGTTATCATTTTTAAATTTTGTATGACCTAAAAGTTCGGGCCTTACTTACGTATAAGGCATTCAACTCTTTAAAAAATAAAAACAAAAATCTTATTTTATTTTAATATACTGATATTGCAACATTTTAATTTTTCAGCTTTCATAAAAATATAGTAAGATTATTTTAAATTAAATTATGTTTTTAGGCTCAATATTAAAAATCCATTTAATGCATTTTAAATTATGATTATTGCAGTTAGTAAATTATATTCGTTTTGGAGTATTTACCCGCCAAATTAAATTTCATGCAATTTTGCATGTAATATCATAGTGCATTTACGAAAACGATACCAACTTTGCATCTAAAAATAGTAATCAACTTCGGTTTAAAATAGACAGTAAATATTTCCCAATGCTATTTATTTGTCAAACCAACAAAACACATAATTAGGTTTCGTATAATTTTACGTGTTTAGCCTAATAAATGCGGGGTAAATATTGTTAGTGGGACTGTTTTATGTCAAAATAACAAAAATTCAATCCAAAACTTGTTAAAAATGTTACACAACGAATATATTCAAAATAAAAAAACCTTGATCTTAATTCCTGAGCTAAGTGTACATCTGATAACGCTAGTGGTTTGTAATGGCTGAAAATTAAATAAAAAAATTACAAAAGTTAATCTTTTTTGTTTTTAGATCTAAAAATATTTTATTATACAGGTTGATCCTAAATAAGGTTTTTATAAGGAATAAAATATTGTCAATGAGTAAGGTAAAAAAGTCATAGATAATGAAGTATTCATTTTTAAATATTAATATAGAGGAAACTTCTAGTATACTGTAAATAAAAAAAATTAATATATTAAAAGAGAAGCGTTTTTGGACGTCCCTGGATTAACTTTAAGATAGGTGTAATATATCAAAAAATACCCAACCAATAAGGTAAAATTTTTTACATTTTACAATTTTTAATACCAAGCACACTTGTGTGGCTATTTACTTTAATTTGTGAAATAACTTTTTTCTTAAAATGCAATGAAAGTTGGGATATGGCCAGTAGCAGATCCAGGGGCGGGGCGAGGTGTTCAAACCCCCAAAATCTTACATCTACACGTGTTTACAGCGACTTGCCTCATCCTCTTTCTTTATCGAGAGAATAACTCTTTGGAAGAAGCTTTGCAGAGACAGGAACATATCTTTCAAACAGCAGCAGAGGTGCATCAAGAGACAGTTTTTCCTAAATATAAAAATTATTTTACAAATTCTCGCTGCATTACCAATATCCACTTGTATACACACTATAGTATGGAATGCTGCTTCTTTTCACTTAAACTAATACACCAAATAATTTACATATATTTTTTTCTGAAAGCGCAGTTAATATAATAGTATAATTCTACAATTCTACAATGTTGAAGAACGAGTGGAATTTGGACAACCTTGAATTATCTCGTTCATTTTTAAGCACAAGCGTTATTTATTGAGAAAAATATATCCCGAGTGAAAATACCAACTAAAATTACAAAAAAATTAATTAAAATTTACAAAAATATACAGTTGGGTCATTCTTTGTGACTTACCCCTGTAAAATCTTTATTGTGCGATTTTAACCGGATTTGTTTTAAAGTTTAGATCTTCATAAACTGTATTTTTGGAGCAAAGAACGCCATATTTTTACAAAATACAAGGCCTACTATGTCAATTTTTAAAAGTAAATTTTTAAGAATTCATATTAGCGATTATTTTAAACAAACTCTAAGCACGGCACTGGATTTACCACACCTCAAAACGACCCTATATTAAATTTTATTGAAAAATTTTAAGTAGAAAAAATTATTATTATATTATATTATAATTATAATTACAAAAATTTATTCTGTCAAGTTATCCATGAAAAAATATTGAAATAAAATTAAACTAATAGTAACATGGTACTATTACTATAAGTTTAATTTTATTTAAATGTTTTTTTTCATGGATAACTCGACAGAATAGATTTTTGTAGTTATTATTGTGCATTTTTGTACTGTATTTTTCAATAAAATTTAGTAAAGGGTCGTTTTGAGGGATGGTAAATCCAGTGCCGTGCTTAGATTTTAAAAAATCGCAAATATGAATTCTTAAAAATTTACTCTTAAAACTGACATAGTAGGCCTTGTATTTTGTACAAATGTGGCGTTTTTTGCCCCAAAAGTACAGTTTATCAAGATCTACACTTTAAAACAAATCCGGTTAAAATCGCACAATAAATTAAGATTTTACAGGGTTGAGTCGCAAACAAATTGGTCACACTGTATATATTGCAATATTAGTAATTATTTTTTCTTTTCAGCATTTATTCTTCTTGAATATTACTAAAAAGATTTATTTTAATGAGTTTTGTGCAAAAAAGTAGAAACAAAATGGTTTTGACATTTTTGGTTTACGATACGAATAAACCGTTGTCATAGCAACGTGGTATTTCCACTTATAAATTCATTACATATGACATTTTTCACCGAGATATATCTAGCAACCTAGAAATAAAATTTTGTATGCTTTTTGGTGTTTTAGTGTTTTCCTTCATAAAGATACCCTTAGCTGGGCCAAGCTCCTCCGAAATCTAAATCCTTGATCCGCCACTGAATATAGCTCTAATTTTCATTGCAAAATATTTTATCCAGAAACCATTTTTCCATGAAATCAACGGAGGGATCACTTTACCCACGATTTATTTTCTTCTTACTCGCGAGTTAATCTTAGTGACTTTTCAGAAAATGAAACCCGTACTAATATTTTTAGTTTATTTCACCTATTTCAAGTTCAATCCGAGGACACCCTGAATTAACTTTTATTCTTAGCACATCATTTAGGAACACCCGGTACACATAATCAATAATAAATGTAAAATTAGAATGTTGGTTCTATTGAAAGGTAATAAAATGGCCATTTATCATTTTTAGTGGTTTATTGCGTGAGTAATTACACTTTTAATTCGCGTTGGTTTTAATTTTTGTTATCTTGATTATACGCACTGTTAGTTAGATAGGCATTGTTATACCAATTTTGAATACAATTCTGGTTAATTTGTTCACATAAAATTTATGTTTTTCTGAAAAACATTTTGGTTTGCCTATGTTTTCAAAGCAGGTTAAATATTAAGTTTCTTCTGTATAAGAACGACTTTATTGCACTGGCAGGAAAAATTACGAGCAAAAGATTTTTAATTTTTTTTTATAATATCCGAAATATTTAAGAAATTTAAAATTTTCGAAATTAAAGAAAGGCTCTTGCTTCTATTTTATATAAATTAACATGTGAACGCTTTTCACTAATTGAAAGAATAAAATCTTTTTTGTAGATCGTTTAATTCTGTACAATAATTTGTATTTTCCAATATTTTAGGTATAATTATAAAATTTCAGAAGAAAATAAAATAGAAACAATACGACAATCTTAGAGTTGATATATATATATATAGATAGCTTAAATTTTAGGATTTTTTTAAAATGATTTTAAAAGCGTTTTAAACCTGGGAACACAAAAATTAAAAAAACTGCTCTAGTATACAAAATATTTCTCCACTGCTAGTGAAAATATTTGTCTCTAGAAAAATCAACAAAATTTATATTTTAAGAAAAAATAATTGTAGAAGTTATTTATTTGACCAGTTTAATCATTTTTAAATTTACCAGATTTTAATGAGTTTTTAGTATTGGGTTTCTACTATTTTTATACTAAGAAAAATATATTGACTTAAGAAAACCACTATATTTTCATGTTAAAATACAAATTCATATAGTCAGGCGCTAGCTCCTAAACGGTTTGAGATATTTCAGTGGAAGAAAATAGTATATTAGGCAACAAGCTGTATAAACTGCATTTTAGTAACGAGATTTAATTAAGCACAAATTGCATACTATAGTTTTTCCAAAGAAAACAAAAATAAAATGATTTTAAAAAATAAATAAATAAATTCTGACATCTATCTGACAGTTGTAACCTCACTTTCTAAAGATCATCGTAGTCGCTTTATTTTGACGATTGTATGACTATTGACAACTTAAGCCATTAGTAGTTTTTCGTTTCTTGATTAACTTGATTAAAACTTTTATAGGTAATTCATTTTGTGACTTTCATAAAAATATTTTAAGCATTTTAAAGCACTCTCATAGCTTAATAATATAGTTTATGTTCCACTAAAATATCTCAAACAGTTAGGTAACTAGAGCCTGGCTAAATTAGTTTGAAAAAGAAAAGGGCAAAAATCACTTACTCTTTGGATACGTCATAGATGGTGTAGTGCGCCGTAAAGGATTGTCTGTATACCTGAAATAAAAGAGAAACGTTATTGAAATTTATTGCAGGGCGGTTTTTAATAATTTTTATTTTATGCACGGTATTAACAGATATTAACGGCCCGTTACACCGCTAAATAAAAATATAATGGAAAAGTTGATACATAAAATCCATTTCCCAACGTACCCACATAATTAGGTTACTAGGTTTTGTGCTTTTTAATGCAGGTGACTACTTATTATTATTTTTTGTGCAAATGTGATACCATAATTTTAAATTTACACTTTATAACAGTATTTGTTTTTTGATATCGAAAAAATTGCTCACTGGCTGAATTGGTTCGACAAAAAGGTATTAGGACAAATTTTTTAACATATTTGTTTCTGTTTTTAGTTTCTAAAAGGATTTTGATTGTTCAAGCCCTACATTTTTTGTTATAGCACTTTTTTTGTCGAAGCAATGGGACACGATTACATTTTTTTTAATGGGGGAAAACTTAAGGAGGGTGGAACAAGGAAATTCCTTTAGACCACCAGGAATAAAATATCAAAAATTCAGCCAGAATTTTTTATAACGTACCCCCTGTCGAAAACTGGATTAGAATAAGACTATTCTATATAAATGTATTACGTTTTGTAATTTTATTTGCAAAAATGGCGAATGCGCCGGGGTTAATGACCTAAATTGTATTGATTTGTAATTTTATAGTTATGAATTTTAATATAACAATTTATATTAATTAAATAAATTTAAATCAGACAACATTGTTACCTTGAATTCTTTTAATGAACTCTATGACAGTTTTGAGCAAAGTTTGTTAAATTTGACAGTAGCTAAAACTTACATGTATTTTAGTAAAAGTTTAGTTTAAATATGCTTAAAATTTTAATATTGAAAAGTATTTTTCTACTCCCACCTTTGAAACGCCCTTTATCGTACATGTTTCCATGACACTAAGTGACCTTTTAAATACACATTACGGCGCTTTAGTCACGGGCTGAAGTTAGCAACAGGTTTTTAGTCACGGGCTGAAGTTAGTTTTAAGTTAGTTGACAGTTGTCAAATGTCATACAATCGTTAAAATAAAGTGCCTTTCTTGTAAAATAATACTAAATGTGAACATTATTTTATTATCTCAATACAAAAATACAAAAATATTAAATGGTTTCTCAACGCCAATATTTGAAAAGTTTATATGGCAGTAAACTATAACTTAAATTCGGCCACGGACTCTACTGTAAAGTTCTCATAAACCATTTCCTTTACTTTCACTGTGAAAAACTGTCAATTTTCATTACATTTCGATTTATAACCTTTATAATTGTGTTTATAAAATGTAAAAATGTGACATTTGACGGTTTCCCCTGTTGTTTCATGGATGGCGCTCTATACAAATTTTTGATTTAAATCATTTTAAGATAAGTATTTGTCGTAGAAAAAGTATAGTATGCACCTCGTTTATAAACTTTTCTATACACTCATTAACTTAAGCACTCGTTCGCAAGCTCGCTCGTGCCCAAATTAAATTCGTGAATAAAATGGCGTTTATCAAACTTGATACATAATATAGTATTGTGTTTACTAAAATGTTTTAAACACTAATAACTAATTTCCTGGGTCCCTCCAAATTACCTTTGTTAATTTTTGAACAATATATGTCGACTAAATCAAACTTTGTTTGAAAATCCTTTTAAAAAATGTGCGAATATTAATATATATATATATATACAATAGTATATTATGTATCAAGTTTGATAAACGCTATTTTATTCACGAATTTAATTTAGGTACGAGCGAGCGCGAGCGAGTGTTTAATTTAATGAGTGTCTAATAGTATATTCTGTAACAAGTTTGGAATACGGCATATTCCGCTCGAGTGAAAAGTTTGTCACACCAGCCGAAGACTAGTTTGACGGTTTCACGAGAGAGGAATATGCAATTCCAAACGTGTTTAAAATACCATAGAAAAATAATTTAATTGGAAGAAAGTGAGGTTGGATCGGTCTAAATTTGTTTTATATTAAACACAGAGATGTCGCCACCATTCTTTATTCCGTCATCCAATGATAGAATAATTCATTCTGTAAAACTTTCAGGAATATATGTCATTCCACATTAAAAAGTGATATTGGAACGGTCATATTTCGTAACAGGAGTAGAATAGTACATTCTGTAACAAGTTTGGAATACAGCATATTTCGCTCGAGGAAAAATTTGACACACGAGCCGAAGGCGAGTGTGACGGTTTTCGACAGTGGAATAAGCTATTCCAAACGTGTTTCAGACATTATTTTCTCTACGACTACGTAAGAATAGTAACGCTTATATAATTTTAACCAGAGAAAAGAAACCAAGCAGTTTTTGACATTTAAGTTTTTTGTATTGTCAAACCATTTTGTGACGTCACAATTTTATAATTTAAATTATAATAAATTTAAAGAAATGGTATGCCTAAATCTTTATTATAATTAAAAATAGTTATTTACACTAACTAATAAAAAAATAACATTGTAACAAATACAAAACTAATTTTACAAGTAATCTATGTCAACATCTATTCTTTTTGTACATTTTAAAGGTCTTTTTAAAACTTTTTAAATCTGTCAAAACTTCAAAGCCGGTATAGTAGGTAACTGGTTTATCATTTTAATATCAAATTTATTATAATTTTGATTTGTATATTTGAAAAACAATAAATATAACTAATTTTTTGTGCCTTAACCTTAATTATACAACTGCTATTATTTTTTAATTAATAAATAATACAGTTATATTTAAATATTTTTAAATTTTTTACGTTTAGTAAACAGCCAGGAGATGTCGTTACTTGTGACCATTCTTAAACAAGAGTGGGAATATTCTCGCACAGTATTGCAGAAAAACATCCTTTCTAGGATCAAAAATTACACTAGAATGTTACTATTCTTAAGTAGTCGTAGAAATAAGTTTTTAAACGAGTTACATCCTATACTTTTTCTACCATTAGTTTAATTTTATTTTAATGTTTTTTTCATGGATAACTTGACAGAAGTTTTTAGTGAATTTTCACAACTTAAGCGTTCAGTTAAATCTAGTTTACTACCCTGAAATCAAAAAGTAAAAAACTTTTCAAACAGGTATTGTCATTGAGAAACTATGTAATACTTATTATTTTGGTAATTCCAGATGAACAAATAATTTCTACATTATTATTTATTTCACAATAAGGACACTTTATTTTAACGATTGACATTTGACAACTGTCAACTAACTTAAAACTAACTCGTAGCTCGTAACTAAAAACCTGTTGCTAAATTCAGCCTGTGACTATGTACTATAATTCGTTCGTACGTTTTTATTGCAGTAGAAAAATATATTTAAAAAAAAAGTTTAAAATAAAAAAATGCAAAAAACACCTTGTAACTTTAAAGCAGCATTTTAACTAAAATAGTCGAGCTTTGGGAATGTATTACCTAATTTTATTAATGTTTTGTTAAATTAACCTTAAAAATTACCATTAAAGAAAAAAATCTTTCTAAGTAATATACAGTGTGGCCAATTTGTTTGCGACTCAACCCTGTAAAATCTTTATTTATTGTTTTAAGTGTAGATCTTGATAAACTGTATTTTTAAAGCAAAAAACGCCATATTTTTACAAAATACAAGGCCTGCTATGTCAGTTTTAAAGAGTAAATTTTTAAGAATTCATATTAGCGATTTTTTTTAAACAAAATCTAAGCACGGCACCGGATTCACCACCCCTCAAAACGACCGTATACTAAATTTTATTGAAAAATTTTAAGTAGAAAAATGCACAATAGTAACTACATAAATTTATTCTGTCAAGATATCCATGAAAAAAACATTGAAATAAAATAAAACTTAAAGTAAAACAATGTTACTATTAGTTTAATTTTATTTTAATTTTTTTTTTCATGTATAACTTTACAGAAGTTTTTAGTGAATTTTCACAACTTAAGTATTTAATGATGTTTATTTAACGTAATTTTTACTAAATAAAAATACTTACAGGTTAGGATTTGCAAAGGTAAATTTAACCTAAATATTTTTACTTTAAACTAAAATTTATAATATAAATTTAAGAGACAAAAAATATAAATGTTACAGGATGAAAAAGAGAACAACTATTAAGTAATTTTAACGTTATTTTCACGTAAATTTATGATATGTAATTTGTTTTTATTACGTAGAATCACGTATTTTAAAAAAGTAGGAATATTTTTTAGCTAAATTTGACTTTTTTAAACAAGTCTGATTCTAATCCGTAAAATTTTCTATAAACTTTTTGGCATCGATTTATTTAGACTTTTACACAGTATTGTGGTTAAATAAGAGTACAATAATAATACAATAATAACAAAATTGTATTATTATACTATTGTTATTGTAGATTTAATCTTAAATCCAGTGTAAAACTAAACACACAATCAGACAAACTAATGAAGTTTTTAACACAAAGCGAGCACATACCCTTTTCCTAATTACTTTTTTAAGTCCTTTTACGCTTGCACTTTCTGGGAAACAATTTCCCGGTTGCCCTAAAGTGCGAACAGGTCGAAAGCAAAACAACGCCGCGCGCCGGGCTTGAAAGAATTAGGTTACTATCAGAATTAGGCTGTAAAGTTAACAAGAACTTGTACTCGCTACAAAGGCCCGTTAAACTATCCAAGCTTTTGTAGTCATTGTCAAATCGTTAAGCTACATACACTTCATTTAATTTCACTATAAGGCTAAACCAACCTAATTAACTTTACTTAAAAATACAAAACATGGTATTATTAAAAATAAATGAAAGAAATTAATTTATTTAAAGATTAAATAACTCTATATTATTTCCTTACTTATATCCAATCGCAATTTTCATATTATTCCATGACCTATCGATGTTTGCTTATTTTCTATCAAATCTCGATCAATTTTCCTTTACAAAAACAACAAAAACAACTGCTCATTTGTTTACAAATAGAAAACAATTTGTTGCCATAAAGGTTCAAGTTTTTTCAAAGGGTATTTTTACTAAGAAAATTGCC